AGGAAAGCGCTTGGACGGAGTTTGCTAATCATGATAAATAGAGGTTGACCAATAGCTTTATGGAGCACACTCGTCCCGTGAGGGGGTGGGGGGGAGGGGGGGGGGTCACTCTTGAGCTCCGTCAACAGCCGCACAGCGGCTAGTTAGGCAGAATTTATTTACCGATATAGAAAGGGGAGCCTGAAATGGCCCCTTTTGGCTTGTCAGCAGTCATCAGCCAAATGTAATCAATCGTAAGTTTTTTTTGCAACGCCTGAGGCTCGAGCTCGCGACCTATTGGTTAGAAGTCAAATATCTCCTTGCCCTATCAATATTGATCGGGTGTATATTCACAGCGATAAAGAGCGACTCACCGACCGCGTTAGGGGACATACTCGTGTCTTGGAAAATTTATCCCCCTTCCGCTTCTTCGAACATAGATTTCCGAACACCTTTGAACCCCCCCCCTGTCCCCACTGACCTTTCTCAGTACCTGCTCTGTCAGTGCGCCTTGACGAAATGCCATGTAGGGGAGGGTGGATCAGTTGGATCTTTAATCAGAACTAGTAGCAGTGAGGTATGGGCGGGTGGGGGGGGCTGGGATTGCTACGCTGCCGACCGGGTCGGTGTCATCGATTATTGGGCTTACTCGACCCCTTCACAAGCACTACTTGCCGCACCTTTTTCACCAGTGTTAGTTACTGATTTGTTGAATACTGCTCATCTCTGCCGGAGTGCTACGCCTACAACGTGCCGCACGCGAGATGTTTTGGACCAACACAGGGGGCCAGATATGGGCATGACATGCGTTATTCGAGCTACAAACTCATATCATTCCTCCCAAATGGGTTGGTGACACGCCTAGGCACAGGCTCGCGCCACGCCAGCCACCTGCGCTATCAGAGAGAACAGAAGCCGAATTTGTAGATTGTGTTCCCAGTGCCTACTCTTCACTCCAAAACTATCTGACGCATCGCCACACTATTACGATGCGCTCGAAGTCGTGGTTTGGAAGGCTGCTAACTGACAGTCCCCCCTTCTGGACTCTACTGGCTCCTTATGGCGCACGCACAAGTTGTCACTAATCGGTGTTCTGTTTTAGTTTTCCCGCAGGTTGTAAGTATTATAGTCATTTGAGTGGCCTGTCAACTAGAAGGTTGGAACAGCGTGCTGCAATCTAAGGAGGAATGGGGCCAGCTATCATTCGACGAGACCTGGCCACATATTCAAGTTTGATGAGGCCGACATCCGGCCAAGGCAATCGGCTACCCAGGACCGCATAGCTGAACACTGCTCCCAACGCCAATACCGGTGAGCCA